AACGGGAAGTTCTCACAGCCCCCCCTGCTCCGGGCTGTCCTTAAAGAAAACCGGTGTGTGTGGAGAGCCCCTCCCTCTCAGGTCTTACTCCCCTTTTTTACTGCTCTCGCGCCCTTTCCCAGGGCAAAGCAATGCTCTCGTGTCCCCACCCTCCTTGTCAGGGACACAGAAGGGAGGGCGCACTGCTGACTCTCCACGCACGATAAGCCACAACAGAACAGTAACCGCAGAGCGGCTGAAGCTCACTCAAAATCAAAGGAAAACCAGGCGGCAGCGCAGCGATATCACTTCACGTCACCTTTGTTACAGGTCAGCATTAACAAACTGGACTGTAATTAAAAATAGAGAAAGAAATCCTCGTTCTTTCACAGAGCTGAACAGGCGATCCTCACTCACAGACGAAGCGCGATGCTCTGTGCACAAGTCACCGCAACTTCACGGCGGCTACTGTCGGCTCAAAGGCCAGTTTATTCCCGAAAGGACATCGGAGTCACCTGCCGAGAGCCCCGCGTGCCCCTACCTGTCCGGGGCTCCTTCATGGGCCGACACACAGTCCACTGGTTTTGATGGGGATCGTATCTCTCGATGCTCGACAAGTGAGACACGCCGTTGTGCCCGCCGACCACGAAAATGAAGCCCAGCATGACACCGACCCCGAAGTTGATGCGTTTATCCGCCATCGAAGCGACCGTCTCCCACGAGTTTTTACTCGGATCGTAGCGCTCCATGCTGCGAATACAAACAACCGACCTGTGAGGCTGGGGTTTGGGGGGCACTTGACTTTCACGCCACGAGACACCTGCGCCGGTCAGAGGCACAGCCCGTCCTGCCAAGCGACGCCCCAACACGCAGCACAGCGGAAGAGGGCTGGAGCGGACGCAGCGTTCTGCGGCCGCTTCGTGCTGCCCGACGGCAGCGCACGAGAAACTAGAGCCAGGAAGCCCCAGCCGCATCCTGCTGCCCCTTCCACACCACCCAGCAGCTGGGGGGGGTCTCAACAGCGCGCGGCCGAAACGCGGTTTTAACCCAGTTCATCCCGACACAGCGACCGCAGTTCAGCCGCTCCCCTGATGTCCTCGGGCCACCACCCCAGATCTCCAGGTTACGCGCTGAAACGCAGCTTCGAAGCTGCCCTCAGAACCGAAAGCTCTTTCGGGGATGGCTGCTGCTATCTAGAAAAAAAAAGCAACTCGTGAAAAACTGAACCCAACGCAGAGCTGAAGATCTGTTGGGGTAACACAGCGGATCAGGAGCTTCCTTGAAGCTTGCCTGAAAATAACAGACAGAGGAAAAAAAAAAACCAACCCGTGGAGAGCACATCCCTCAGGAAAAGCAGTAAAGAGGTTGCTGATCAAAGCACTAAGGACAGAAGAGGCCTTCAGGGTAAGATGGAAGTGAATTATCATCATCATCATTATCTTTTTTAATCACTGGAGCTGTACAAATGGTCAGAGTCATTAACACCCTCACGGCACGTAGCTGCTCCCTGCCCAAAGTGGAGCTTCAGCAGCACGAGGGGGCAGAAAAGAGGGGGAGAGAAAAATCAGCAGCACTCCAGAGCTGGAGAAAAGGTGCTCAATTGCACAGCAGTCAGCGCTCTTTTAACGCCAGAGCTTGTGCGAGTCTAGCGACTGCGTATTTCTCGCACCCTTGAATAATTCGTAAAACCAAAATTATTCAGTAAAAAGTACATTAAATTTTAAAAGGGAAATAATGAAATATCGTATTCCAGTTAACTCCACAGGAGCTGCTGGCAACTCCTTTCTGACCGAGGAAGAGAGAAGACATCGCACCAGGAGTCAGGCTACTGCAGAACCTTCATGTCAGGAGCTTTCCCTTCAAAGGTACGGCTTGACAAAGACATCTCCTGAAGGGAGGTGACCGAGTTTACCTCCCAAAGGCCTGAGCGCGCAGCCTTGGGGAACCACCGCTGGCAAGAGCAAGGGCAAGGGCTCGATTATCTTCCCTTTTCTGTGGTCTGCAGCAGGGCGAGCATCCCAGAGGTCCCGCAGTAACTCCTGGCACACCCGCTCCGCTCTGCTGCCAACGCTGCCTTAAGCTCCTACCAAAGCCGACGGATCCGCGGGGTACCAAGCTGGCAGGGAGGGACCACACAGGACTGCAGCGCAGCTTCAGTATTCCGTGTCACATTCCCTCGTGCAGAAAGCCTGCAGCCAACAGGAAACTCCTAGAGATGGCTCGCTTGTCTATTAAGTATTTCAACGGCTCTCACAGCCCGTAATTTAGAGTGTAAGCCACTAGAACGATGTCACGTTAAGTTTCATGAAATCCTGTCACAACCACACCAAACAGCTTAAGTTATTGTTGTTTTTTATTCCAGCAACCTAAAAGATCGTTTGTGTTTTCCAAATGGGAACTACCTAGCCATGCTCTCCTGTTTGGGAACTGATCCTTTGCTTCACAAACTGCTTTACACAAAAACCTATCGAGTACAGAGAGCAAGTACAAGTAATGACCAGTGCAACGCTGTCACACTGCGCTGTTCAACAGCCAATGCATCGCTTCCTACGAGCAAGATTTTCATTTTCATTCCTGACTCAGCTATTTAGGCTTGAAGTTTATTCCTTTGCTTCTTGAAGGGACATAGGGCTGATTTGTTCCCATTTTAACGAAGAAAAGAGGACACAAACGATTTCTTTGCATAACTAAAGGCCCCGTCCATCCATACGGAGCGACGTGGAGCTGGTGGTGTCAAAGAGCACGCTGGTGTCGGGAAAGCCCCTTGTGAGGGCTGAAGCGAGCCCGCTCCTAGCCAGGAGCCACACCAGTAACCACCATCCTGAGCTTTCCTATTACCATGAAGACTACCTTAAGGTTCCACACGAGGCACATATTTATTTTGTGTGGATTAAACGCGTGAAAAGCCCCACTCGTTCCAGAGCAGCGCTCAAACGCCAGCGCTGACCACGCGCCCTGTCCTCGGCAGGCCCGAGGCACGGGGATCCAGGAGCGCTGGCGCAGCGCTAGGCAAGGCTCTCCCGGGAGCTCGGTAACCGGGGGGCAGCACCGTGATGCACGCACAAGCACGCTGCCTCGGGGGCCGAGCAAGTAAGGCCACACCACAGTGATCTGCTGAGCTAACCAGCTTGGGGGGAGACAAGGTCAGGTGTCTTGCACCCCCTGGCTTAGCAATACGCACGTGGGTGCTTGCCTTTACCGTTTTCCCTTCTTAAGGCGTTAAAAACAAACCAGAAACCCCCCCCAAACCAACCAGCTCTGAGCTGGAACGCAAAGGGAAGTCAAAATAAAGATTTCCCAGCTGAATTATCAGGCTGATACTGCAGCACACGGATTAACGAGGCCCGCTGTGGATTACCAATCTATTTTGGAATCATTTTTAATTGCTTGCCAAACACAGCGGCCTTCGCAGATTCCCAGCTTAGCACCCGGAGCCGCCGCAGCAGAAGCCCGTACCTGTTCATGTGGGCAGGGCCGCCCCCGCCGATGGCGTAAATCATCCCGTCCAGGACGGCCGCAGCAAAGCAACTTCTCGTCTTGTTCATGGGGGCCACGAGCTGCCACTCCTTCACTTTGGGGATGTACTTCTCCACCGTTCGTAGGTAGGACTGCCCGTCGTAGCCGCCCAAGGCGTAGAGCTCTCCCGCCAGGACGGCCACCCCCAGCGTGCTCCGGCTCTCAAACATCCTCTCGAGAGACGCCCAAGTGTTCGTGTCGGGGTCCCAGCACTCCACTGAGTTCTCGTGCTTTCGGTAGCTGATGCCTTGACACACGTGGGTGGCAATCCCGCCCACGACATAGATCTTCTGGTCCAGGACACATATTCCAAATTCGTAGCGGGGAATGCTGAGAGGTGCCAGGCCTATCCAGGAGTCGTTCTGGGGAAAATACATCTCAACGCTGAAACAGAAGAACAGAGAAGACGTGAGCAAACCTTGAAGCCGAGAAATTCTTTATGACAACCTCACTTTCCGAAGCTCCGAGAAGCACAGAGGGGCACCAAGGAACACACTCTTCGGACTCTTTCATACACCCCATCAGATGTTCGCTGTCTCTTCCGAGAGCCCAAATGGCAGCTAAAATCAAAAGCTAAAATAAAATACTGCTCTGGAGGGAAGAGCCATGGGGCTGGCAGCGCCACAGCAAGAAGCCCTGGCGCCAAGCCCCAGCCCCGCAGCGCTGAGTTCCCAAAGTCCCGCCCGGCAGAGTGCGGCGCAGGCAGGGCAGCATCGGCGTAAGGCGAGGGAAGGCACGCCAGTGCTGGTGCCAGAGCTGCTTTTGGAGTCAGGCTGCCACCGGGGTGAGCTGAAAATGCAAACCAGAGGGTAAACGGGGGCGCGGAGGGGGAAGTCAGAACTGCCAGAGATTGGCAAGAGAGAAAAGGAGAATGAGCGGGGGAAGCACTTGTCTGCACGTACGTACAAACACGCATTTAGAAAGTAAAATCCGCGGGTTTGTAAATACCTATTTTACATGCACTGTGCAATTTAAACAAAACGTCCAAGTAGAACAAACCAACTTGAAAACTCTGTTTTCAAAGTACTGCTTATTTGCATTTTCTTTTAATCATACTCAGTGTCAAAACGTGGTGGGGCTAGTCTATCACGTGTCGAGTCTGGCCAATCTACTGAAATAGTCTGGTCGGTAAATCACTTAAATGATTCAGAAGAATATTTAGGACACAGGGAACGGGGCCCATTCAAAAAACACGCAAGCAAGCGAAGCCACTGGAGGGCTGACAGCCACC